TTCTTACTAAACCCTTGTCAAAGCAATTCTTCACAAAACTGAGGGAGAAACTTCATGTCATTCCCTCACCTTTGCTCGAATTGAGGGGGCCTGAAAGCAGTATAAATATTGTTCAAGAAACTTATTCAAACAAGGATAAGAGACAAAGAACAATGCAAAATCATAGCAGCACGTGAAGGGGTCTTTTTTGTCATTTCATATATATGCATGCTCCCATGCATGAGCTGTCCCTTGTACTGCATGAGATCCCTTTACACTCCATCTCAGCCGTTGATTATTTTCCTTGTAGATGAGAGCTAGCTGTTAGGGTTTAGGTAGCATATATATTCTGATGTTATAGCAGCTTTAATATATTCATTGGTTTTAGCATATTCATTAATGAAGCAAAAGAAAGTTTGTTTTCCAGTTTTCTTCTTATAGCTTTGATTTGATTTTTCATTAATGGCTGTTGAAATTGCTCAATAAGGGGGACTTGTTAGAATATGCTGTAAAGGCTTAGCTTTCAGATATTGAGAATTCAATTTTAATTTAGCAATCATGTTTTGGTAAAAGTATTTACGTTTGTAGTTTATTTATTTATGCATGGTAATGATCTATATTCTATTGACTTACAAAGTTACATATCATTGGGGATCATATTTACATATATGAGAATAACAATTATTTATATGCGTAAAGACAATTAATTCAGAAAAGTGAAATAAAGGAAAACGAAAAAAGTGAGCGAAAACGGTAAATCCCATGCACTGGTTGTCGAAAAATCACCTGAATGCACAAAAAGTACAACAAAACATTGTGATCACCAAAATAAAAGTTAGCATATCAATTTTTTATATTGTAATATATACATTATCATGTACAAGTATATATGAACACTACAAAACCAAAAATATTTTGGATACATGTACATTATCATGTAAATTTTAAACTGACTTTTTCCCAAAAAAAAAAACCCACATTTCATCTCTTGTATATGCATGCATACCATTTTAGAATTTTCACATCAAAATAAAAATATTACCAAAAAAATAATTATACATTATTGACACTTTATATCACCACCGTTATTTTCGTCGTCGTCATCATCATCATCATCATCATCGTCACCATGTTTTTGTTGTCGTGTATTAGCTACCGGACTTTTTGCTGCGGATAAAAACTCCAAAGCAGTAACAACGTCGCTGATAAAAGGCCGAGTGGTGGCCTCTTCTTGGAGGCACATAGCTGCAATTGCAAGAGCTTGATATAGTCCCTTCTCAGGATAATTTCCCTCTAACAATGGATCAGCCATTAGGTGAAACTTTTTCTTGTCTTTAAACAGTGGTTCCGCCTGTTAACAAATACATATATTCGATTGTTTATACATATATTCGATCGTTTAGATTGTAACGTATTGGTAACTAATGTACATACCCAAGTAATCAAGTTTTGCTCCTCGGTGGGTCTGCAAGTGTCAATAACTCTCCTCCCGGTGATTAGCTCCAGAAACACGACACCAAAACTGTATACATCGGACTTTGTTGACAACTGGCCTGTGGCCGCATATTCGGGCGCACAATAGCCATAGGTCCCCATTACCCTAGTCGAGACATGATCATTTTCGCCAATCGGACCAAGTTTTGCCAGCCCAAAGTCGGAAAGTTTGGGATTGAAATCACCGTCTAAGAGTATGTTGGATGCCTTGAAATCACGATAAATAACTGGAGGATTAGCTGTTTCGTGCAAGTACTCGAGCCCCCTAGCCGCACCTTCCGCGATTTTCATCCTCGTGTTCCAGTCTAAAGGCTTTCTATCAGGACTTAGATCTACACCAAAACAAAAATAAAAAAGGTGACTGTGTGAATTATGCAAGTTACTAAAAAAAAAAAGAGAGGAAAAAATGCATTTTTTTGTCTTGTTTAACGTCATAGCAATTTTAGTCTCGAGATTCCAATTTTTCGCAACTTGGTCATGTGATTTAATATTTTGCTGCAATTTCAGCTCTTTCTGCAATTTCACTCATTCCTAAAAGAACTGAAATTGCAGCAATAATATTAAATTACATGACTGAAATCGCTAATAAAAAATCTGTGAATTTGAGAATTTGTTGCAATTTCAGTCCTTTGAGGACTGGTATTACAGTAAAATATTAAGTCACATGATCAAAAGGCGTAATGTTGGGACATTAGGACTAAAATTGAGATTAAAATTGTTATGACGTCAAACCAGGAGGACGTAAAATGCAACTTTTCCTACGAAAAAAAATTCATATTTTAATATTTTCCAATGTTTCAAACATACTTAGAAGGTGATCTTCTAAGGAGCCATTTTCCATGTACTCATAGACCAAAATCCTGTGATTTCCCTCAGCACAATATCCAACTAAGTTAACAAGGTTAGGATGGTGAAGAAGACTCAGTATCAAAACCTCAACCAGAAATTCTTTGTTCCCTTGGAAGCCATTCCTATCTAGCTGCTTAACTGCAACATCCTGAGCAACAATCAAGAAAAATATAATAATCAATTATTCCATAATCATTTCTCAAGTTATTCAAAGTTAAATGTTCGGGATTTCGGTTTACAATAATATTGTTTCTGGTCTCCAGGCGACCTTTGTACACCCTCCCGAAACCGCCTTCGCCTATAAGAGATTCAGAGTTAAAATTCCGAGTGGCCTCCGAAAGTTCCTTGTACGTCAAGATATTGGCTGTAATGTTTCCCTTCCCGAGCTTTTCGATTTCTTCGGTTATGTACCGTCTCTTGCTGCCATCTGCATGTGCATGCGCGCGCATTAAACTATCGAAAATTAGGTTTTGGCAAGATAAAGGTTCTGTTAACATTAATCCAGAAACTTTTAACATCATAAGAACATGGCAAAATATAGACAAATGTTCAATTAGTTTTCCCAAAATTAAGAAATAACATATAAACAAAATATTTTTACCAGTTTTGATGGATAAATTGGCAAAAGAGGTTAAGGATTTTGTTCTCTTGAGTTCTTGAATGCTCTTCTTCAATGACCTTTCATGGATTTTATCTTCAGAGGCACAACACGGAAAACAGCTCCACATATCCGCGGCTTCGATCACATCAACAAATTCTGATTATTCCAATATTTTACGTATAATTTTCGGCTTGCATTCATGTCCGGAATCCCAGGGCTAGGTGATTGAATGTCCCAAGTCCTGGAATAAAAAAACCTATTCTTCCGTTCTCTTTTCTCCAAGTTACACTAATGTTGTTTGGGTCCTTTTTTTCCTATTCTATATTTAGTATGTGATAGCTAGTGATGTTAATAAAATCTATAGGGTGGAGTAACCCAGATTTTTGGATAGGGTATACGCGGATTGAGCAGGTTTAGGGTCGGGTTCGAGTATAGATTTACTACCGAACCCCAGGCCCGGTTAAGGTTCAAGTTTAGTGCAAAAACCCACATCCCGACTCGTTTACCTGCAAAACACTTAAAATTAATAAAAATTCATGTTTATAGTTACATTTGAATATATTTTAAAGTTATCAACTTAGTCATGCCATGCGTGAATAAGAAAAATTTAGAGAATTTTATATTTTTAACAGTAATTGTCGTTGTTATTGTTTTTTTTTTTTTCGGAACGAAAGAGGGATATATTAAACTAGGGAAGTATTAGTCAATGAGTGTAAATTATTTTCTTCCAACTAATTGATTCCTCCTAATTGATGCTTATTGTTCCAACTAATTGATTCCTCCTAATTGATGCTGATTCTTCCAACTTATTATTATCCAAACACTTGTAGTTATGGAAGTCAACTTATGTTGGATGCATTATTTTCCAAACAACTAATCTATGCATTATTATCCAAACACCTCATCTACCAATTATTGTGATTCCTAGTTGTATATATATGGGTTCTCGGTTCTTTTGAGAAAGGGTGTGGAAAAATATTGTGAACACACCGAAAAAGAATTAGAGAAAGAAAGAAAGGAAAGAGAGAAAAGAAAGGAAAGAGAAGAAAAAAGATAGCTTTATGTTCAATTATCGGACATAAAAAATATCAAATGAGAAGGAACAAATAATATTTTTATTTGTTTTATGATATATCTTTTTATTTTTAGTGTTCATTTCTCGACTCCGTTCAAGTTCGTCGGTGCTCGTAAATCTGGTGTGCTACAGATTTAGAGACGTTTGTCGTTGTATCTTTGGGGAAGTTACGCCTGAACCGTTAGCTGCCACACGGGGCGTATTCTTCTTGCGGAAAGAGTTTTACTCGCCTCGGCTAAAAATCTTTCCGTTTTTCAGTTATAATTTTTTATTCAGTTCAATTGTAATTTTCTATTTTTAGATTATTTGTAAGAACTGAAAATACATATCAGTTCGTAGGATTCCCGTGTAATTTGACACCAAAATATCCAACAATCG